TGATGGCCATCGTTTCCCGTTTCAATAGCGGCCCTCTTCTGCACAAATCGGCCATCAATACAACCCCAGCTTCAACAAACATGGCTGGAGTACATTTGATGCAAATTGGTGATTACTGTATAACATGTATAACTTATAACAAGCATATTATACAAATAGTAAATACATACGTATATATATATATTAGTATTAAAATAGATCATATGCAACATATTTCACCTGTAACAAGATATCGCTTTTAGTTCCTTCGATCTGCTCCGGTTTCGTCCAACTCTTTGGCCATCGGCTCCGCGACACCGCTGAGCTCACTGGCGCAGTGTGCATCAAACCACCTGCAGGATCGGCGCGGTGAGTCGAGCGGACCAGTCAACGCAGTCAGTAGCAAATCACAAGCTGTGGCCCAGCTAAATGCTCTTAATATGTATACGTATACGTATCTATGTATCTATGTATCTATCTATGTATCTATCTATGTATCTATCTATCTATCTATCATCTCTGTGTGTGCTACTTCACCTTCTAGCATAAAAGCATATAAACATATTATATATACGTAAACACCCCACTTCGATAAAAGCTCTGTTCATGTGTAGACCCCTGAACTCGGCTTGTAAGCATCCTCTCCGGCTGAGGCTCTGGGCTAAAGGAGTTGGACTTCCGCTTGAGAAAGGCCATCTGGAACAGGGAGAATAGAGACACCTGGACGCCGCGCCCACACAATCCGACACAAAGGCTACAAAAGAGCAAGTTCACAAGCACTATCTGGCAGAAATTGGAGCGAACAAAGCCCTGCTGACAGGAAAGTCCACTTGTCTGGCCAGGTTCCCCCCCCCGAGTTCGGTCTTACTCATGGCTTGCCGCCCGGCCGGGCCAAGGGGGTCTATAGGCTAAATAGATCGTGGCTTTGGGAGCTGGAGAACGCAGGTGCACCCCCAAACAATCATGCACAAATAAATGCCTACCCTGGGCATGCGCAGCAACCCTGTCCTTGTTGTGGTATACAGAGGAGGGCTCCGACAAACCATCTCTGATGATCTCCAATGGTTTTCTGCAGAACTCGACCTCCAACCGAAATGAAAACCTTGGCGTGTTGGAGGATTGCACCTCAATTTCATTTCAACACCAAATGTGGGAAGTCATGTATAGCATTTGGACTATTGTGCGGTGCCTCCTTTCCTATCTTTCCTCACCCTTGCTGCGGCCAATGCCGATAACCGCAGATCTGCTCTCCACTCTCCCTGTCCCACCGAGGCCAATAAGCCCATGAAGCTATCCTGCATGAGTGGCCGCCGCATGGGACCTGGTCTTGGAAGTATGGAGTTGTGACCGGGTTCTTCTCCTCCTCATCATTGCTTGGATAGGAGGCTAAAGCCACTCACACATACTTCCCAGCCTCTTTAAGTTGGGAGGAAGAAAACATAAATAAGTAAATCGAACATCAAGTGCTCGCAAGGTCAATGGCAACTAACCTCAAAAGCATTCAAAAGCGGTTTGCACCATTGTCCATCCCAACAACATTTCCCAGATTGTAGGTGTGAGGCCACCTAACGGAAAGGCCACTGGGTGAGCTCACCGTCACGTTTGGATCATGAGATGCCATGAGGTATTTGGATTCCAAGCGTCACACTGGATTATCGGATAATCCCATCGAACATGTGGTGCATTCGGAATGAGGCCTTCCTCACAGGTTGCAACACTGTGAACCTGGATTCAGATCGATGATTGTAATGCATAAGGCTTTAAGTCTTGGTTGTTCTCCTTGCCGCGGCCGCGCTGGCCGCGCCCCCAACCCTTGACGAGAAAGTCATGGTCGGTTGTGACTCTGTCGGTTGACCGTCCTCAATGATTCCGCCGATGCCCGGCGCGTGGTTGGCGCCGATGCCATTCCAAACATCCTGGACCAGATCCGCGAACGGGTCAGCAAATCACACAAAGCTTCTTCGAAGAATCTTTTGCTTGCTGAATTTTGAAGTGACCAAACATGTTCGAAGTACTTGGTGACAAGTACTAAACATGAAGGTAAAGCATACAACCCGTGAAGACCTCTGTGAGCATTGACAGAATAGTCTGCGGACTACCCCAGTTGTATCTGCATACAGTGTGTTGCAACCCAGGCCGCTGAGGCCCAGGCCCTGCCCCGACTGAAGAACAACCCATGCCATCGACGGATGACATTGCACCGACGACCGCCCCGACGACATCTCTCATGACGGGCGCCTGGCACCAATGGCTCACGGAAGCCAACCAAGTGCTTGCTGCAGAGGCCTGCCGGCACACGTGCTGGCGCACATTCACGGGCAAGTCGTCTTGTAAGGAAGTGAAAGTCTGAAGACGGAAGACCCGAGATTCTCGGCATCTCCAAGTAGTAAGCTGCCTGAGAATCCTTTGACCGTGCCCTTGGTGATGGAAAGTTTTGGGCTGAGTCTGCGGTATGTCTTAGCTTGAGTTCTTAGCAACCAATTTTAGAATATTTACAGGCCCCTTGCCTACAGCTGGGCTCAAAAGTATGAGAGGATGCCAACAAGAAATATCTGTTTGATCCTTTTGCATTTGTAAAAATGTGTATCGGCTGTGAGCTTCATGTCGCTTGAGAAACATTCGTCTCGCCCAAAACTTTGTTCATAATCTCATCTCTGAGCTCCATTGATCGCAAGGCAATGGGGACGTTGGCGTTGCGGGTGGCACACCTCTTCACCCTGCGGTGAAAGACAAAACAAAAATCAACCAGGGCGTCACGGACGGTCTCGCAGCCACATCTTTTGGATCACTTCAGCATGGCTTTGTTGACAAAGCTCACTGCAAACATTTCAACCTCAAGGTCAGAGTCTGCACTGAGGAAGTTCAACCTCAAACAATCTACACATAGAAGGGGGTGGTCAGAGGGCCTGTGTCTTTCCTCCTCTCTCATCTCTCTCCTAGCACTGATTGTGTGGCACGAAGTGTAGTGTCAGTGGAACCAGACTTTTGGCTTCATTTGTTGTACAACACTTGCAGCTTAGCAACCTCAATGGATATCCTCAGCTCCTTGCTCCCTACATCTCATTCTTCCCTTCTTTTCGGACGCGTTGCTCCCACGGAAAAGTTCCCCCCTCTCTGGTGTGGCGGGCACTTCTGTAGGACTCTGACAGTCTCATTAGTTGGAGCCAAACTGGGTTGGCCATCAAGAATCCGCCGCTCTCCTCTGGTCCACTACTGTCCGACAGTCCAGGGCACACTAAAGCCGCCAGGCAAGTAGACTGGTGGCTCTGGACAGCCAGACTTTGGGCAGTCCTGCACGGAAACGGGATGAAACATGGTGGTCTCCAAATCGGTATTCAGTATTCAAAATTATTCAATACATACTTGCACCATCTTGCACCCTATTCACCAGATTCACGACCTGTTTTTCGTTGGCATAGCATATGGCTTTAACCCACACCTCTAAAGAGCAGAGTGCAAGTGTTCGACGATTTTCTCCGCGTTCAGAGGGACAATCTCAAAGGTTCAAGTGACCGAATTCGGACTTTGCCAACTGCTCGCGATCGAACAGCTGCTCCGTTCGTTCACACCCTGCGTTGTTTCCCAGCGACGCCAAGTTTGGCAAGGAGGTATACCTCTTCCAAAATGGACCGCATGCAGTGGGGAGCTCGAGCACCCGTCACCAGTCTTCCAAAAGGCGGACACGTTCGACTGCTTCGCCCTCCAGTCCTTGGGATTCCAGCCTTCCCGATACACCTCCAGGGTCGAACCTGCATGATGCCGTCATTGAAACCGTTCAGTTGGAGGGTGACCAAATGTCAATCTGGTTGTCTTTCCAGGAGGAGCAGAATGAACAGTCCAACGTGTTTTCTGTTCAATCGAGTTAAATACATAATACTATTACATGCTATTACATACTATTACATACACATACATACATACATACATACAGACAGACAGACAGACAGACAGACAGACAGACAAACAAACAAACACACAGACAGACAGACAGACAGACAAACACATACATACATACCTACATACATACATACAAACAGACAGACAAACCTTACCTTACCTTACCTTACCTTCATAATATACCTTACCTTACCTTACCTTCTATACATGTGTATATGTTTACTACATAATTTTACATATATAATATACATATATATATATGTATACATATTTGTTTACATTCAATTGGCATGAGCGCAGAAATGCTCTCCTTCCACAGGTGCTTCACCAAACACACTTACCCAGCTGGGAGCTTTTCATATGATGCAGCCAGGTCGGGTTGGTTGGGTTGCAATGCACCTGTGCAAGCGAAATCCTCTGCGAGGCGTTCAATGATGGCAACATGCGCAGCGAGCAAATCCTTCTTGGACATTTTCCTGAGCTGTTCAACACGAAGGCTCAGCGGAATGGCAATCCGCTATATAATGATAAAAAATGTGAATGACACCCTTTATTATGACAGTTGCTTTTGGATGCGTTTTGTTATATTTACCTGATCTAGCTAGAGTAAATATCAGCTAGGGATAAAAAGGGTCCATTTGTCCCAATCTGATCGTGGATAAGGTTCATCTTTCAGCGGCTTGCCCGTCTTGAGGGCCAGCCAATAGTCCAGCTGCGACATACATGTGAAAGGACAAACTATTGTACTTGAAATGTTTGTGAGCGTTATCTTTCTCATCCACTGCCTGCTTGCAGAAACCACGGCACATGACGGCACAGTGCAAGGTTAAGGCCACGGAACTGTGTTGAGAGTTTTGAAAATGGCCAATGCAGCAGGTACAAAAGGAATTCGAGTTTGTGTGTGGCACGTTCCTGCTTGGTTGGTGGAACAATTCATGCAGCTGATCAAGAGTGACACACGAATGAGTCTCGCCAAGGGCCGTGAGCAACACACATAACTTCCAACCCCGGCGATGCTAAGTATGGCATGACTATGCATGACTTGTAGGTTGAGTGAAAGGAACATGCAATCACAGAGTGCATGCTGCTCCAAATGAAAATCCTCCCGTCTGGATCAGGAAAAATCATTTGGGCATCTTTGGGCGACGTTGGAGTCTTCCTAGCTCACTTTTGACATCACCAAGGTTCCTCGTGTGCGCAAGGTTTCCTTGATTGTCCCAGCCGAAGTGAACTTCCATATCCAAAGTCCTGCACACAAACCATCGAACCGAACCACTGAACCACAAACATCCAAAAACCCTTGACCAATCAAACTCCAAAACCTTCAGCTCATTGCTTTGTGCCTAACATGTTCGGTATCTGAAAAAAACTGGTTGCAAATTCCTGTTCATCTGTGTTCACCTGTGCCTGTAGAAGTAGCATGGCAGCCAGCGGAATCTCGATGTCTTCCTTCTATTCAAAAGAAGATGTCCTTGCGGGGCATTGAGCACCCCTACCGGTTCCAACATGTTTTAATGAATTTGTTTGGGGTTTTGCCCTTCAACTCGTTGGCAGATCCACGACTTGCAGGGTCCTGATCTTGCTCTTCTCCGGACTCTCCATCAGCTGCTCGAGCACCGTCCATTCCGAGCCTTCTGTATCAATCCTCCGCGGAGGATTGCGGCATCACGCCGTTAAGTGGCTGTGAGTGGTATGTCAGGTGCAACTCCAGGTGAGGAAGGGATAAGGCGGCAAACATCAGCAAAGTCTGCGAAGAAGTTACTTGTAGCAACACTACCCTCTCATTCATGAGGCTTGTTGCTGGAGGTTCGAACCAACTAATGTATCATCGGCCACCCATGAGTTGCCACCGGTCCCAATGCCGAGGTGCTTAAGGTGCACGGACAAAGGCGGATAAGGAGTCCTTAGGTCTTCAAACCATCAATGGGCCCAGCTGCTCCAGTGGAGGTGTAGTTGCTTCTCAGCGTTTCCCCGCGAAACACCAGGGTTTCGGAAGGTTTCAAATGGCTCCTTCGGCCAATGCGAACCACATACACTATATATCTATCTATATATATATATATATGTATGAACTGATCATGGAAGTGGAGAACCACCTATTTGTAGAAGAAAATGGTGATCCAAGCGGCCATGTTCCACTTCCATAATTTTTGCAGGGAGCGTGCAAATCCCCAAATGATGAAACTGATGCAGCAATTCCCAACAGTTGATAAGACTTAAAGGACATGTTAAGGTATTCCTGGACAAACGCAACTTCCCTAAAGGGAATGTTGGAGAAGTGTCAAGTGCGGCAGCAAGGTCTCGAAGCGCCTTCCTTCTTCAACTTTGGCCTCTGCCCCGAGGCAAATCCTGCGGCACTTCAGAGCAGCTCACCAATACATTTCGGGGAACAACAATTCCAATACGCAAACCTTGTCATGTTTCGGGCCATGGCTCACGGCACTGCCATTTGGTCAAATGGATTCACTAGGTGATGGAACTTGAGGAAGCACAAACTAGCTCATTGATCCTTGCCTTTTCTGAGTTGGTCTAGTGCCTGGTGATGCCTGGTGATAGTCTCAACCGACAGGTTCTGACCATCAGACCCATCTCCACCTTCTCACCCACCCACCAGCTTCTTGCCCGGCTCGCGCACTTCTCAAACGAATTCACAATGCTGAGGTCCTGTAGCTCTCGTAGGTGGCGCTATAGCCTTAGATGGTGCACAGGCGTTGAGACAAAGGGGCATCTCTGGATCATGCTGGATCCATCAAATCTCCAACGCTCTTAATTGGAACTCTTGCTCATGAACCAGAATGGACTCTCGGAGTCTGCAAATGTATAGGAAAAGGATGGTTGTGTCTTGTTGTATAAGTTCCGGCCATCCAGCGTTGATTCTTGATCAAGCCCTCCATGAACAAATAACCTCTCTTTTTATGTCTTTCCAAAGAGTGCTCCTCGTGCGCTGAGTGGCATGGCTTGTTCTCTACACCCTTGCACTTCTTGGTGCCATTGGGTGCTTTGCCACTGATTGGTGTGGACTTGTCTGGAGGGATGAAGCAATCATAGAGCTTTGTGTGCAAGCCCTTCCTCGGCTCGACGTGCTTCGTAGCAAGCTGCACCGTTGAGGCAATTTGCGCCATACCGCCGTGAACAACGTTGCTGGAACTGTTTAATGCAGGGTTTGGTATGGAATTGGGTACAATTGGGTTCTTAATTCGTGTTTCTCAGCACTTTGTTCCACAGCAACTGGATTCCGGCAGGAACGGTTCGAAACACGCTGCCATTTTAAGACCAAACAGTTGACAGGCGGTGACCGCCTGCCTGTGTATTTAACCGTTTAACCTCCGCTGGATGTCCTGGGAATCCATGCGCTAATGTGTTAAGAAAAAACAAACACCAGGACCTCCGAAGCATTCAGCTTCCCGCCTGGTTTGTTCGGCTCACCCTGAGCCAAGCACTGGTGGTTCAAAGGCCTCACCATGTTTCTGTTGTCTCAGGCTTCCAACCCCGAACCAGCACTGTTCACCTGGCATGGTTTTTTCTTCCCCTGGACAACTGACGACTGCAAACGAAACCAAACGTCGGCGCAAGTCATGGCACAAAACATCCGAATTTACCCTGGCCGTGCGCCCTGCACCCCATGCCACTGCCTGCAAAATGGACCACCCTACTAACCATACTGTCCAAGATGGTCAGACAACTTTTGATCCCTCCATATTCATCTCTATACTCCTCTTCTCTTCTCCCTCGCCGTCTCTCGTTCAGCGACGGCGGCACCGGGACGAACCGCACGGACCGCGGTCCCGGCGCTCAGCTCGCTCCAAGGGTCTGGCTCATCAGCTCGCTCCAAATGTCCCGCAGTTCAATCCCATAGGACCTGACAACGGTTGAAGCATATCTAGACCAAGCGCTTGGACAGAGCTCTCCCCAAGAGGTAGACTGCAGGCCGGTATTTCACGGCATTTCTATCTGTAGAGGTACCTTTAGTCAAAGCAGTGTCATGACAATCACGTTCGAAATGAACACAGAAATCACGGTGTTCGAGAGACTAGGAAATTGAAACCCTTCAAAACCAAGTACAGTAACAACAACAGACATTCACAAAGACTCACTGCAAGACTGCATCCCTCCGCACAAGGAGGACCTTTTTCTCTGTGTGTGTGTCAACCTCTGTAACTAAGAGTTTTGCATGCACGGGCGTCAGGCTCGACACATCTACCTGACGCAACGAAGCTATGATGTGTCGAGGGAAGTGAGAGCTGATCACTCTCATGTACCTGCTTCGTGACAATACTCCAACTTTCCTGCTGTTCCTTGGTTTCATGGTCCTTGCACGAAATACCCCAAAACCCTTTTTCCCACCGCCGAATTGCAGCCGACTTGCAGCCGCGCGAGTTTTTGACAGCTGAGTGCAACAATTGTTCGACATTTCAACTGAACTGACTTTCTCGCCTTGCTGTTCCCTCACCTTTTTCTGCTTGGGAATCGATTAACTGAAAACCAATGTCAGAGTGTGACCCGCTCAGTCGTCCCACTTGGGTGCTGGGTGTGATCGCCGTTACTGGGGCGCTGATTTCATGCCGGACTACCACTAACTGCTTCTTTCATTCCACCACTCTTTGGTTTCTCCCCACTGAATTTTGTGTTTTTCAGGACTCTCGAAACCCAATGCCGTCGGGCTTACGACTTCAATGCCGCCGGGCCAACGGAGAATAAACCCAAACGTGTTCTCTACCCCAAACACCCCAACCCCTCCCCCCCTTTAATTAGGGTAACAGAGGCAAATGGTACTCAGCACACTTGTGTGTCGGTGCCTTTCCCTCTGTTGTCCCTTTTCTAGTCTACTCTACCCGGGCGGTGTAAGACGAAAGTCCCGCTCCCTAACTAGTGCATCTAATTCATTCGGCTAAGTATTCAGTAACTCTCAGAGTGCATACACACACACGGACACACACATGTACATACACCTCCCTGCCCCCCAACTTTCCTTCTTGCGCTTTTGGTCGTTTGTTGGGCTTTCTCTCAGGCTTTTTAGGTTGTTCTTGAGGCTCGTTTCCCTACCCCCGTCAAGGGCTAAGTATTCACTTTTTCTACTCCTACCTTTCTCTCTTGCCTATTCAGGTCCACCGCGCGAGCGCCGCAAAGCGGCATCGTGCGTGTGTCAACCTCTGTAACTAAGAGTTTTGCATGCAGGGGCGTCAGGCTCCACACATCTACATGACGCAACGAAGCTATGATGTGTCGAGGGAAGTGAGAGCTGATCACTCTCATGTACCTGCTTCGTGACAATACTCCAATTTTCCTGCTGTTTCTTGGTTTCATGGTCCTTGCACGAAATACCCCAAAACCCTTCTTCCCACCGCCGAATTGCAGCCAACTTGCAGCCGTGCGAGTTTTGACAGCTGAGTGCAACAATTGTTCAACATTTCAATAGAACTGACTTCCTCGCCTTGCTGTTCCCCTCACCTTTTTCTGCTTGGGAATTGATTCACTGAAAACCAATGTCAGAGTGTGTCTGTGCTCGCAAGCCGTTGAAGTATCGACCATGATCGAACCGCATCGAGTCAGGACACGCCAAAACCGTTTGGTCGCACCGTTCGGCTGAAGCCGCCGTGACGAGCGACGGCAGAAACATCAATGTGTGACCAAGCGGCAATCCCACCAGCGCCGTGGGCGGTGCCGTAAAGGCCTTCTGGCACCAGGTCACATCTCCGAAGAGGTGGAAACCTGGGGAACCGGGTTGGTGAGTCACCCGTGGGCTCGTCGATCATTTGGAATCACCGGGATCGTCACTTGAGTCAATTGAGTGATGCTGCAACTAGTTGCAGAAGTTATGAGCAAAACAAAGGAACAATATGTTTTTCACAACCAACACTGAACAATTGTAAATAGAAGCTCTTGTCAGATGTGTATTGATCAAAGGGTGTTATCTTTCTGTCTACTTGTGAGTCATTGTGACAAGTGAATGATTTTTTCTGAACCCTTGAAATCCCACAAAACACCTATTATCTCCAAGTCACCCTCGCACATCTCCTCAGTGATCTGTGGTGTGACGGCCTTCAAAATCCTCTGTCCCAAATCAATGCGCCAGGAGGTTTTCACCTCCAAGCTGCCACCGCCGTAGCGCCACTGCTTGGTGGATGCAAGCCGAACTAGGAGTCATTGTGATTTACATCATCGCCAATTATCCCAAATCACAGGCGCAGGTTGAAACTCATTATGTTTCAATCTACTTGCCAACCAAACTTGGACCCAGTTGAGAGCAAATTGTGCAACATACCTGCCATGTGCCGAGCTAATCAACCAGCCTTGTAGGGCCAGACCTTTGCTGGTGGCAAGCCTCAGAAGAGAGATCTGTCGCAAGTTTTCCCGAAAAGTCAACCGGCTGGGTCTGTTCCTACATGGTCGTTTCGCAGCGAGAATTCGCGGGCATGAGCATGTGCACACGATCCGGAGTTCCGCGTGTGCAGATGAACCCCGCGGTCCTAATAGCGTCTCGTACGTACATTGAGCCGCGGCTTCTCTTCCCACTCATTCTATTCAGGATCCACCGGGCTGGATCGAAGATTCGTTGGGTCGAGGGGTGTTGGGCTGATTCGTTACGGTCGCCATGTCGATCCGGTGACGTGTGGGTCTGACCAGTCGTGGTCGTGGTCGAATCGGATTCGGTCTCTGATGGCTTCTTGCGGGACATGAAGGGACTTCATACTTCTCACCACCGGCCTCATGGGAAAAAGAACCACAAGGGAACATAATAAGTGAACACTCATTAGTAGACTACGACATGTACTGAGGTACTGTTCTTCGCATGTTGACCATTGCGCAGTGTCAACGTGTAATTAAAGGATATTGACAGGTTCCATGCCATGCGCGATGCCAAGCGACACGGTTTTCCAGGCCGGGAGCTCTGCGGGTGCTCTGCCATGGGTTCACACGGTTCCTCCTCCGGCACCTGGGCCATGTCCGGTGGAAACAACTGCTCCCGGTTTGGCCCAAGGCTGTCAAGCAGGGTCCCTCAGGTATGAAGAAGCCGCCACCTGCTTACTCCGCTGCCCAAGGGGCTGTCAGCGGAAGTGAAGGGACCAGCGGTGGTGCCTTTGGCTCCTTAGATTCAATTGTTTCAGCAAAACACTTGCATGCAAGAGAGGCCCAACATCTGTAAACACATTACCCTAGCATCATCTCCAAGCCCTGAAAGGCATCAGGACAACAGCAAGACTGCTCCTACGGAACACACACACTTATGGATATGCGTACTGACTTGACAGCGGTGCCACACGCCTGCCTAAGAAACCCAAATCCTGAAAGGTCCAGGAAAGTCCTAAAGAGCCTGGGGGTCTTCAAAAGGAAGTGTGGCCCAAAGCGCGAGGCGAAGCCGATCCGACAAAGTGACGACGTTCCGTGCGTGACTGCAGCTGCATTAGCCCTTAACAAGAAAGTTCAAAATTTCGAAGGAAGCAGGTACGTCGGTGAGCGTCCCCACCGATATCAGTGTTCAATGCAAGCCTCTTCGTTGGGCTGGTACTTGCATGAACAACCAGCCCCCCTGCTTGAAACAAAACGAAAACGAACACAATTCAAAAGAATCCCTGTGACTACAAGGGGCACACACAGACACGCCTCCCCGAGGGGAGGCGTGAAGCTAAGGTGAGGGCCAATGTGCACGTGTGCGCGCACAAGACAAAAGAATGAAGACATGACAGGAAGACGAGACGGGACAAAGGTGCGTGTGGTTGAAATGAAAGGGGAACCAAGTGCACAGGGACACCCGATGAAGCCCACCTCATTGTAAAGACCTGGGCGACCTGAAACCTGTGTTTAAAGGTATGTAGAAGTGCACGTACACACTAAGGCCGGGACCAATGTCCACGCAAACGAAGAAAAGGATGAGATGAACAGACATGAAGACAGGAGGACATGAAAGAAAAGAGGGAACAAAAGTGTGTGAAGGGGAAGGGATGAAAGGGGAACCAAATGGAGGGGACGAGAACCAATGAGACCAAGCCTCATTAGAAGCACCTAGGGACTTGCCTCGTTTGAATGTAAGCGCTGTGTGTGCACCTGAGGTGGGGACAGGTTCCAATGAACCGGAAATTGGCTTTGACCGCTGTGGTCACCTTGTGCCCTGCCGAAATGGCTGGCTGCCTTGATCGCTGCGGTCACGTAAAGGCATGAGCCAACTTGGAATTCTAAAAATGACATCTAAGTTCTTGTGGCATGAGCCATCTGCTGTCCGCTCCGGACACGTACATCTCCAGGCAGGGGAGATAACGACAGACACCCGTTCGACTGGTCCACGGGAGGCACTCTACGGGCTCATCCCGGACTCTCACTGGGAGAGACACACTTATGGATATGCGTACTGACTTGACAGCGGTGCCACACGCCTGCCTAAGAAACCCAAATCCTGAAAGGTCCAGGAAAGTCCTAAAGAGCCGGGCGCGAGGCGAAGCCGATCCGACAAAGTGACGACGTTCCGTGCGTGACTGCAGCTGCATTAGCCCTTTACAAGAAAGTTCAAAATTTCAAAGGAAGCAGGTACGTCGGTGAGCGTCCCCATCGATATCAGTGTTCAATGCAAGCCTCTTCGTTGGGCTGGTACTTGCATGAACAACCAGCCCCCCTGCTTGAAACAAAACGAAAACGAAAACAATTCAAAAGAATCCCTGTGACTACAAGGGGCACACACACACACACCACGGGCACTGAAACAAAGCCCGGCTGTGAGGGCTACATTGGGTACTACTGTTAGTTCAAAACAAAAAAACCTGCATGGTCATGGTAGGAAAAACATATTACTTTCAAACCAACGCCACAAAAAAGCTGGTCGGACCAATTCCACCCGGATCAGCTCCCGAGGTGCAGCTTGAATCACCTTGGTGAGTTCCGATCGGAAGGTCAAGGCCTTGCGCCCGGTGCTGCAATCCTCGGCGGCCGGAGGAGACAAAGAGCAACGGAAGAAGGTCCAAGAGCCACGATGAAAAGCTGAACATCCTGGGTTTTGGGAGGGGGAAGCGGTCTTGCAGGGACCTATCTTCATGGCACGAGCTTGGAGCCAAACTATATAGTGAAGGACAAAGTCCTATAAGCGACGAAATGAATGATATCACATATATATATATAATTATATATTACATTAAATATTATATATATACTATACACTTTCCTTGTCCAGCCATATCCGCTGGGCTTCATGCCGCAAAAGTCGTCGAAAAAAGACCTCCATGTCCATCAAGATGTTGGCCCTCAGAATTCTCGAGATGTACATCCATCAACCATATCAACCCCAAAAGGCCTCTGTGCATCCACCAGCAAGCCCCCAAGCCCCGCGCCGCGGTCGACACCCAGGCGTCGGAGTGCAGGAGGAGCTCGGTGCCCTCCCTGGGACGATCCTGGCCCTCGAACGGGTGCACGCATCTCCTGCGAGATGGTGGACGGGGTCATCAAAGGGATGCGAGATCGGACGTCCGACTGGTGGGTCGCATCATGGTGCCGCGGATGGGTTCGGACATGGGAGTGAGGACCACTCCTTGGGAGGACATCAACTTGCCACAGTTCAGTGTGGGATGTCCAACGGGGCGGTTTCAGGACAGCTTTTTGATGAATGCTCATTGTAGCAGCTACCGCTACAAGTTCTTGAGCAATGCTGACTGCTTGATGGGTGAATGTTTCAGGGTGCCCCCCCCAAAAAAAAGAACATGTGGCAAAGGATTCCCACTAGTGTAGACTCTTGATTAATAACCCCCCCGTATGAACAGGATGTCCAATTCAAATGGGGTGTTTACTTAATCTAAGTCTACATTCTTGAATTATAGGCGGAAGAGTCTAGTCTAATAACTACCATGTTTCAGGGACGGATAGTCTCCTGGAAGCCTTGTGTTCCAAGATGAAGCCCTCCTGATCCGCCTGCAGGTTTGAAACACTGGTCTTGCCGGCACAAGGCTGGAAAGTGTTGGCAGGAAGCTGTGACATATATAGTTTGACACAAAAACACATCAAGGTCAGCAAGCCTGAAAGAAACCCCCTGTGATAGGTTGATTTTTTGCATCGCACAAGCCGAAATAAGCCGAAACTGAGTGCAGAATCCAGTGGTTAGCTATCTGCTTCGCAGAAAAGCTGAAACTTACAAGCCTTGCATCACAATTGTTTCCCATCAGAATCATCGGAAGGGGGAAACACCCAAACAAAAAGCAGCAGCAGGGGGAGGAAAAGGAACACAAAAAAGAAGCAACCGGGTGAAGAAACCGCTTTGGGTCAAGCTTTCGGTGACGAGGTGGATGACAAAGGGTCAGGAAAAATGCCATGCCTTTGTTGGGCCAAGTTGTTGACTCGATTTCCGTGATGATAGGTGGAATCCTTCACGCAATCAAGGGGTCCGAGTAACATTTCAAGAGCAGCACGACACAGCACAATTGCCGGGACCGAGGTTCGTTTCTGGCATTCCTGTCCTGGCAAACTTTAATTTGGTTTTCCACGCCCCAGGTTGCTACGATCGCGCTAGGTTGCTTGCCACATGTTACACGACTGTGCAGTCCCCAGAATTGAAACCCATCAACTATTGCTTGAGATACCCTCCAACAAAAATGGAAGTGGAACATGGCCTCTTGGAAGACTGTTTTCCTCTACAAACCGGTGGTTTTCCACTTCCATGATTGATTGTTTCAGGGAGGATATGTTCGAGCTTCCATGTTTCCACTTCTCAGGGTCCATCAATCGAAAGAAGGTCCCGCTGACTGATTCGGACAAAAACCGTGCCTTGAGCCGTCGGAAAATGAAGTTGTGGTCCTTGGAATCACCTTGAGCCGTCGCGTGCCGCAAGCACAGAAGCGTGCTGCAAAACCAGGAGACACAGGACGAATGAACTTCGGGCAAACCTGATGGCCCCCACAACCAAAAGAAGCCAACAAAACGCCAATTGTTTAACTTTGCGGAAGCTGTCCTTGATGGGCACCTCACCACCTCCCTATCGATGAGAATGTCAGAGTAGTAGCTCATTGAATGCAACCAGAAAGCCCAGCGCAATTTGGCAACACACCAAGATATCCACATACGAATCAAACCCAACAAGAACTTGCCATGTGAAATCACTACAGAACAACACTGAATGCTCTACAAACCTCTGGTTCCTCAGTTTCATAGATACAGCATGATGTAGCATGATACAGCCTTTTTGAATGCTCCCCCGCCAAAAAAAAAACCTGAAAACAATACAGAAAATCTCTAACCTCAGGTGCTTGTGATCCCAAACGGCGCTCTTCTCCGACCCAAGTGGCAGGGCGCCAGCTGCAAGCGCGGCTCCGCGGGCGCCGTCTCCTCGTCTTCGTCGCCTTGGGGATGTGCGCAGCTGTGGCCCAAGCGCACGAAGACCTGGAGCGAGCTGTTGGAGCTCGCTCCGAGCTCGCTCGCTTGCTTCGCTCGGAGCTGGAGCTCCGTGCGCCAGGGGGTTTGGTCGAGGATGTGGCAAATGGTCCGGAAGAGAATTGGTCAGATGATGTCAGATGGTACTGAATGTATATAGATCTCGTGATTTGATATTTCAGCATATAAATATATATATAAATTTACAATCCGCACATAGTTAGGGGGTCATTAATCAAGAGTCTACAGCTAAGCAGCTAGGTTTGAGCAGTCTGTTTCTGAGTTAATTCATCACCTTCCCATGCTAATTTGTTGCATGTGGCCGGTTTCTTGGTAGCTGCCGAGCTACCTCTTGGAATGTGACCGGCTGTGACCGTGCTTTTTGTGCCAAAAAACGGCCTCCCCTGCCTCTCCCAGAGACTCTGCATCCTCCTCGTCGTTCCCGAGGTGGTGCACCAAACGGATGTTCAGCTGCGGCTCGGAGTCGCATTCTTGCAGAAGCAACAGGCCATCCACATCCTGAGCCCCGAGTCAAACCGAGGAAGGAAAGGAAAAAAACTGTCCAGGCTACCTAGACTACCTAGGCTGTCAACGACCTGCACTAGACCCGAAGACGTGCGCTTGTTGCGAGAAGTTCTGGGCTTCAATGATGCACGGGACCTCTACATATGTGCATGGCTTGCCATTGCCCGTTCACCTGAACCGGCATTTCGTCCTAGGGCACTGCAAAGAAGCCAAACCACCCTTATGAGTGCTGCTACTCATTGCAACATTGGGCAGTTAAGATTTTAATACGTAGCTTCCGGACCCAAAGTTGGCAATCCCCAACAATGAAATGACACCGTGGGTGTGGACGAAACCAGGGCGGTCTCCAAGTGAAACCTAGTTGGTATCCTTCAAATCCAGCATCATCATGGAGTCTAGCCAAGTCTTCTGGCTGAGATAGCAGTCGTTTCGCCCAGGCTCGTTGGACCGTACGCACATCCCGGCAAAGTGCCGGAGCAAGGTTCCTGTGAGGACATGTCTTGAAAGGGACGTGGGGCTCCACAAGAAGGTAGCGACCGCTGAGGCAATTGATTTTCATCCAGCAAAATGCATTCGATGAAACAACAACCAACTGAATCTTGACTCAAACCCCGACGATGGAGCTTTTACGCTGGCCATTTTGGCCAGTCTGCGAGGAGTCCAATGGTGTTTGTACTGGCTGCTAGCCTTCCGCAGATTAACCTCGGCCAACCCCTCAACTCTCTCTCACCGCACCTTCTTTGGCGGCTTGCAGCTCTGCCGCGCTGGGTGGTGCACGGGCATCCCGCTTCTTCTTCGCCAGCTCCTGCGCTACAGGGCGAGGAAAACAAAAAACAACACACGCAAAAAGATAACCTTCATTTTTATCCTTCAATTCTATTCCATAGCCTTGCCCACACTATGAGGCATGCAATGACAATGATGTAATGCTGGCTGCGTCCTTTCGGCGCTGCCGGTACTTGAGCTTCTCGCACTCATTCCGGTCCTTAGGTCTGTGGTCTGAAGTACAACCATCCGTCCACAAATGAAAGGATGAGAGCGTGCACAACGGGCATGGCTTATTGAGTTGTCTCTCATGTTAAAAGGGGCATGGCTTTCAATGATCGTCGAACATAGAAATGCCAGGTTGACCTTCCCTGTCCTCCAGTTGATGCAATGCTTGATGGACTAGGCAAGCAACAAGGTTGCACCAAACCAGCACAAATCATACAGCGATTGCAGCCTACAGGAACTCTGCAAGTGCTTTTGGCATGGAGGAGCTCCAAATCAATGCCATTGGCTTTGCAAATCCATGATGAGTTGGACGATGTATACTTGGAGGCAGCAAATGCAACCAAACATGAGAACTCATAGAAAGCAACTGCAGCTCACAGAAATGGTTTCTGAAGAAGGACAATTATGTTAGAAACATAAACATGACCATTCTCATCCAGGAGGGCCATGTATGTGCATATCAATATGTCATGTCCTGCACAATCAATATCCATGACATTCCATGACCCAAGCAACTTCACTGTTCACCGACTAAGAGGCGGTTCCACGTTCCTTGGTCGGCTTGTGATGCACCCGCACACGCTCACAGTCAAAGTCTTGCCTGCACTGATAGCTGGTCTGGTAGTTCCACAAGCATCCTCGGAGTCGTGAGCATGCTTAAGACTTAAGATGCAAAATCGGGTTGAAACCCCCCCTTGGCTATATGTACAACGTTAATCTCAATCTCTCGGTCTCTACCAGACTCTTGAACGAATGTAGCCAAGAGCTGAAGGCAAATCACTGGGTAATTATGCCATATATATATATATATGTATGTTGATTCTGATATGTTTAATATGTCTATAGTCTATATGACATCCAAGCTCAAGGATTATCAACCAACAAACTGTCCGATTAGATTCACTCTCCTGGGGAATTTGTGTGCTCCAGGATCTGTGAAATGTGTGAAATAGAGGGGTGTCAACATAGCGTTCTGGATTTTTGCATGATACATCCCTATATTTGTACACCATTATACAGTTATACTGTATACTCTTCCGTGTAACCTCAACCCGTTAAGTACCTCAGCATGGTAATTGCCTCAACCTGTTAGTTACAACTCCGGCTGAGAACCAATGGCTTATCGGTGAATTGCTGCCCATGTCATATCGGGGATCCCGAACTTGTTGGGAGTCAGTGAGGGATCGCTTATGAAAAGATCGCTACACTCCACCAAGAGCCCGAGAGCCCGCACTCCACCAAGCATCGGTCGATCTGTGCAGCTTCAAAGATGTTCTTGTCCGCACCAGCTGTTTCCTTGGCTTCGCGCGCGAGCCGAGTTTTGGGTACAACATGAGGTGTCCAAAAACCCACCAGACCGAGGTCTGTCAATCCTCGAGGTCTTTTCGGTGGATATGAGATGAGGTCCCTGACTTCCCAGAAATCCAAAGACTTGACACTCAAGAGGAAGAGATAAATGGCACCCATGCCAAGCCTTCAGGAAACGGTTTATGGATGTTTATGGTCAAAGCCTGTTGACAGTCCAAGAGACCAAGGCCTTCTGTGCAGCCTTGCTGTTGGAGTAGTAGAGGCTGTAGAAGAAACCTGTCGAGTCAAAGGAAACCATTCTCTCCGGTTTTTGGCTGTGAGCGGGGACCACAAGAAGAAGGATTTCACTGTTACAGTACATGAGGGTGCCAAGTGCAAAGTTGCCGTAGCACGCACCGTCACAAATATATGTGTATATCTATATATATATATGTGTGTGTGTGTGACATGTTCATTTCCAGTCTATCTATAATGATGCAGGGATATTCTGTGAAGAGGTTAAGTGCCACTGAGCTCAAAGTGCATACGCCCCGCAAAGGAATGAGACGTTGTTGTGGTCCAATTCTCACAACACCTCTTCCAATCTCAGGGTCGTCCATCCAAATAAAGCAGGCTACCAGGTCAAAGGCCACCTGAACAAGTTTGTCTGGGCCTCCGATTGTGAAAGCTTCATGGTTCCCACGCACGCTTGAGAAACAACAAGCAATAACAACCAAAAAACAAGCATGTATCTACACCCACACACGGAACTCCAGACAATGTAGAACATGTCAAAATCGAGGTGGAACCGGCTACAAACACCGCGACTTCGGGCTTCTTCACTCGATATGCATGTGGAGATCTTGCCCAGCTGAGTTCCACTCGTCACCTCCCCCCATCCCACCTTCTCTGGGTCATGTGAATTCGGCATCCCGAAATCTCTGACAGCCCCACCCTACTACGCCTTGCCCGCACTCACCGCCCACGTAGTAGCCACCACAAGGCTTCCATCCAGTGTGGCCCCAACCTGGGTTGGAGAAGATACACTCTTTGACGAACGAATTGATCACATCCCCTCAGGTTCCGGGGCCGAAGAGGGCTGGTGGCACTAGTTTTCAAAGACTGATTATGGGCTTGGTGCAGGAAACCGGCGGGAATAAATCAGTCACTTCACAGGCTTCACCGGCTTCACCGCCCGGGTCGCGTCCAGGTCCGTTGGCCAAGTCACCATCTTTCACGGTGAAGTTGTTGGTTCGGGCAAAGATCAACGCAGCCTGAGGGAGTCGGCAGCGTGACACGCGAGAAGAACGCGGCACAAGAAAGTCATCCATGACAAGGGCATGGAATCTCTTATCACAGGACACTGATGCAATTGGATGTTCCTATTTTAGGGTGGGATTGTGAGATCCCACAGTTGCAAGCGCCGCGTGGTTATGATTGCTGCATACTGCATCATCATACTGCATCTGTATTTTTACAATAAATAGCTGATGTGCAGGGCCATGTGGGGAAAGCTCGGGATCTTCATACCATCAAATCTTCATGCGCAGAACCCGCAATTTGTATGATGTATGATGCATGGAAATGATCATTAGCAGGACAAGGATGCCTTGGACCTTGACACCTGCGATGGAAACATATTGCCAAGAGGTCAACATGGCCCGTGCAAAACCAATTTGAACACTAGACAACTGTTCATCAAAGCAGGGGTCAAAGGCTTCTAGAAATCCTTTGGGCATATATTGTGTTATGAATTCCAAACTTTGTTTCATATACAGTATTTGCAAAATTGCCACCAAGTGCATTCAGTAATTATGGTGTATCCCAGAATTGGCATCTCCTGCTCTTTCGGAGCCTCTAAGAGCTTCGCGCTCGGCCGAAGGGCAATGAATCCTCGGATCGTTCGTGTGGCTGTTCCGTGCAGTTGTTTAGGATCTAGAAAGGATGGCTGGAAGGATGGAAAGGGCAACTCTGGTGTAACAGGTGCAGTTACCACTATATGGTTACAGTATAATGAAACTCTGGTAGACCCTGAAAGTAGCATGGCAACCGCACCACCTGAGTTGGTATCCATAGAGCACACATCGCGCATCCAGTACCTCACCACTGCCCTGGCCACACTGCTTGGCCAAAACTCCAATATTGAGTGCTTCTCCGACACCGCCGTTGGTGCTGAGAAACTTGCCTGACCAGCACGGCATTGCACCACAGCTGGGTTTGTAGTCCTTCAAATTAAGGTTTCATGTGCATGTTCACGACCCATCCCTCTTAGGCTACGCAATTGCGGTGATTTCAAATCAACTGGATCAACTGGATAGGTGCAACTTGCATCAACTAGTCCCTGGACCTGAACGTAGTAAAACCTATACTAGTTACCTACTCCAGTGGTAGGGTTGACGGGGGTCGCAAGTCTGGGGCCATGCCAATTCTTGCAACAGCACATACAAACCGTTGATTTGCGCATGCGTTTGCTCGAAAATGATGGCTCGTCTCTCCCATTTCTTGTCCAGGCAGTCAGCAATAAAAGCTGGGGTATCCTGGAATGGGGTCTTGTGAGTCTTGCCGAAACCACTTGGCATTCTCCAAGCCCTGCACTCCAAAAACGCTCATCATTTCGCAGTTCCATGTCCGGATGGGGAACTCCCATGATCCACTCACTGGATGGGTCTCCAAAAGCACCCCCACTTGGAACCTCTCGGAACTCGAACCAACTTCGGCTCGAGGAAGCCGAGTAAATGTCCCCCGCCTGTCGCGGCACATCGAAGGACTGGTAAAATGTCGCCCTGAAATTCCTGGGCGTCGATCTTGGATGGACTTATGTAATATTTATATAGCATAGACACACACACATTGAAGCGATAGTCATGTTGGAGTCGTCTCCAGTCCATGCTTTGACTCCCAAACTCGCAGCATCTCGCAGCTGACATCATCCTCTTGCAGTCAATGCTCGCAGTCCGCATCGTAGTAGGCGACGGCATCATAGCCCTCCAGACCCACAGTGTGAAGTCGGATTAAGTCTTGATGGCCACCTGAGTTGATGGGGCTTTATGGTTCCACGGCAGTGATTGGATGTGCCGTTCGATGCTTTTGATGTTGTACTCTGTTGTTCCGTGGCAGCCAATCAATATGGTCTTGCTCGTTTTACATCATGCAGGATGCTACAGTCATCCTTATCAGTGGAGGGGGCACCTTCAAACGTGTCAATCATTTCAGAACCATCTTCCCCTTGTCATTGTCGTTGCACAGTTGGACAGTCCCAAATGTGTCTTCTGCCTTTCGAAGGACGGTTCCATCTCTGCTCTCCGTGCCGACGATGCAACGACCTTCTGAGGATGCACCTCAAATTCCTACTGCAGAATGAACAATAGATATCAACTTGGATTTGCTTAAGGAACCGGTAAAAGAAAATTAAACAAACATATTCACCAGAAGGGACTACCAGAAGGGACTTACCCATAGGGAACATAGACAATAAAACTAGTTGGTGGTTTCAAGTCACTTGAAAAGTACTAGTCAGTGGATTCAATCATGGCAAGTACAGGTTGAAAATAAACAAATCTGAGACCACCTAGAATAATCACCTTTTAGCAAAACGAGGTCAATCTTCAGCTTTCGCCACCGAACCTGCGGCCTCGGAACACCAGTCATGACGTGGGTTGAACATCGAACCTGGAGGCACGTCCCATGGCACCACGTGCACAGCGACCTGGCCATCCGACGAAACAATCAGGCGTCCAAACTGGCGTCCAAATATGGCGAAGTCGCCTGAGGCTACAGTCTCAAAGTTGAGTCTCAAGGGTCAAATATCGCAACTTGAAGGTGATGTTGGACAGAAACTTGCCAATGGAGACTGTTTAGTGTCATAGAATCATAACCACTGAGTTGATTTAGAGTTGTTGACCGGAACTTCGTCGCTGCTTCTGCCCTTGGGCACAACCCCTGCTTCACTACAAACAGCCACATGGAGGTGTGTATTATATACTGTATCGTAATTAATCCGTTTAAACATTTGGCTGTGGATCCACCTCACGGTCTATACCACGTCATCTGTGAGACCTTGAGGTGAAGTATTTGAACGAACATCGTAACATCTCCTTCTGTTTATCGCAGCTGTTTGGCTGAGCGGCCTCCCACTTCTTTAGCAAAGCCTTCACCTTTGGCGAGATCCTGGCGGCATGAACCCTCATGTCGCATCCACCCCCACCATCTCAGCAACAGTCTATCAACGGCCTCAATAGTTCAATCGCCTGAAAAATGATGCGTAGTGAACCCCGAGAAAAAGAGTGGCGCGTCTAGAGCTGATCCAATTCAATTACTGATCGAAACCTATACGTCTGTATGCCTTGAACTGAATCGGGTCCGAGAACATCATGAACCACGCTCAAGCATGTGCATGAGAGCTTTGGATGAAACATGGTGGCTTCACTTCGCGGATCCCAAGATGTTTACAATTGTTTACATCATGGGCAGGGCGATTTGCGTTGCCCCAGCCACTCCTTCTCCAAAACGATCCTCCCATCAACCCTCGCATGGTCACCATGGGTGCCGCGCGGCCCCAGAAACTGCACAGCAAGTTGAGTTACAGTAAGTGCATTCGCGGGACCTTACTGGGCCTGCTGTGCGCTTGGAGCAAACTGACCGCCGAACCAACGGCTCGACACCAAATGGCTCTTCCACACGACACCCCACGCCACATGGCGCACCTGTCAGCGTCGTGCTGGAGCATCATCACTAAGATCTCGGCGTTCATGGCTAGGGCCGCGGCCTTCATCGACACGATGGACCTCACCCGTGGACTCGGCGGTTGACCGTTCAGTTCTGCCATGAAAAGGCACACGTTCAATACAGTTAGAGAGACTTTTTGGTGGGGGTGGGGAATATATTCTAATGTATTCTACCGCACTGGAGATACACACTGTTTCCTTGTGATGGCAACAAACATAGTTCCGATGTCATTCAGAGTTGCCAGGGTGGTTGTTGGCTAATTCCCTGGCACAATCCAGTCACCCTGGGGGGAACCCCCATCAATAAGGGAGAATAAGGGTATCCCATTGAAGCCATGGCTCATTAGATGTGATTTTTTTTGTGACCATCTTGGCTCTGAAACCTGCAAGCTCCCTTTTGATCGGCCCTTTGGACACCACCTGGTATGGACTTTTTGGTTCGTCCTTTGCGAAGGAGGATAGATTCATGTCACGGTCCCTTCCTGTTTTGCTTCCAGATTGCCAAATGATGTGGACATGAACGGTTTGCTTCTTCCCAACTTGGCGATGCTTCTTCCCAACGGTTTGCTCACCTTTTGACTGGAACGGCACGTCACTCATAAGGGTTTCGAATGGTTTTCCGCACCTGAAGACTTCATCCATGCGGCTGGAGCATCCCTTCGCTCGGAAGGCCCCAATGGCTCAGGACCAAGGCATACCTCAACGGGAAGGTGGGCCGACGATTTAGCCGGTGATATAGTGAAACACCCCACCGAACAACTGGACTTTGTTAAATATAATTTGCTAACGCTTGGACAGCTGTGGTATAGAAACACCATTGGTTAGCTTCCTGGTGGCACAGAACCCGCCAGAGACCCACACCGGAGAAATCTGGGATGATGCGTGGTGCGGAGGAAAATCAACTTCCCATTTCCCTCTGGCATGGAGCCAATAGGCGTTTTACAAAAGGTATTTAATTCTATTCTTCGCAAGAAGGAGCAGCATGGTCTTTAAACGAACGGAGAGGGGCGTGTTTCACACAATGCTAGCTGGGCACTGTAGAGGGCAAAGAAGAGAACAGGCAAAGAATACCGAAATGTGGCTGTGGCAGCACAAACATCGTCAAGATCTCAGTGCACCATTAGCTCATTAGCTCTATGGTTGATTGGGATGGACATGAGGGACTTGGCCGAACACTCTAAAGCCAAGCTATGAGAGCTCCTGGAAATTCCTGTGACTGCTTGGGGAGCAGAAGAACTGCTTCGACATGCTTCAACAATGAGACCGTAGTGGAGTCGAGTGATAGCATCTCATGGGAAAAAAGAAAGGCTTAAGGTGATCAACACGATGAGCAACGAAGCTGCCAGTGATCAGCATGCTGGCACATCACCCGCCACCAGGACGGTCCGGAGAACAGCTTCGAAGACCTACGACGTGTACGGTATGACATGTGAGCGCCCCATCGGGGGCGCTTCGCGTGAATCTGCTTCGCGGTGAATCGCTGAACCAAATCAGATCCATTCAAATGAGGCACTTGCCATTCTCTGGGCCCTTCTCCGCGCATTTCCTGGTGAGTGAGCGTGGGGGAAGCGCCAAATGGGATGAAAGCAGTCTGTTTCCGCATGGGTTGCAATCTGTTCGATAGATGCTAGAATCATTGGAACCTTGGAGGACCTTCACCTCCCACCATGTGCATACTATCAAAAGCATTCAAAAGCTATCTTTTAGTTTTGTTTGTTATGTCCCCTTTCTTATCCCACCCAAGATCTGCCAACACTTGTGCCACTAGCCAAGACCTTCCGATCTTCCTCCTTACACAAGACGAGTACAGGAGCAAGTGGATGAATATGAGAGGCTGAGGAACGAAGTTTCCTCTATCCGCATCATTTGCACCCCCAGACTGCACACAGTACTCAGGTCTTAATTCAAACAATCAACCTACCCAGCTCCTAAGGTCAGGCTTATGCAGTACGGCAATGAGAACACTTCTGGGAAGGTGAAGTTCCACACGAAGGACCACTTGATGAGAGGGATCACTTTTTCGACTTGAAAGGAGACCGAGGGGGCCACCAATGCAATTTGGCATGTGTAGACAGTGTAGACCTGGACACTTGGACACACCTTGTTATCCGGTCCAACGAAAACTACCCCGTCTTTCCGGGCGCCCTCTCCACCAAAAAAAAGAATCACAATCTCGACCAGTGGAAAGAAGTTCCATCGAGATTCTCCACGTCCAAGCAGTCCACCACCTTGTCTCCCAGGTTGCAGCAGCCTTTACACCCAGGCTTCTTGGCACCTCGGCATACGGGTAACCCCCAACAAAGTGGGGTATCCCAGTCCAGCACACCAACAGTGTGAAGAGCATAAGGGATTGATGGGTCGGGACCATGCGACCGGCTCCATCCCTCTCAACTTTGAACTGGCTGGGACATATGAAACTAAACATCATTCACCACTCTTATATGTCCTTCTTTTTTCATCGCCAAGTTGGAAGAACTTACACACAGAAAAAATAAAAGCAAACAGAGCGACCCAGCCAAATCGCCCTGCTATCTGCCGCCTGTTCAAAGCCATGTCACTGAGGCGATGAAGAAAATGGCCATTGTAGCCTGGGGCGGCATACGCTGACTGACCCAAAGAGTGACGACACTCTCTGAAATCATCATGAAAGTGTAAAATCGGCCCCTGGATGTAACACAACTCTCTACAAACAGGTGGGTTTCCACTTCCGTGTTAATGACTCAAAGATATTCAAAGAGTAAATCTGCCAAATGCTGCTTATCAGATCCTGGCTTCCACTTCACCCCCTCCGACCCCTCCCCCGAAATTCCCCACCCGACACGCAACTCACCTGGGCGGGGGCTCCAAGATGTTTTAGAACCTTTCTTCATTATCTTTTTGTTTATATATAGACATGTTACGTGTTGTTTATCTATGTTTGTCTCTTTTTCTTTAGACCTTTTAGACCAAGGACCAAGACAAGCATCTCTGCATCTCCCCCTACAGCGCAGCCTTGATCTGATGCCACCTGTTGTAGCCTTCGATCAAAGGGCCACCCCTCAATGAATATTTGGTCAGTGGGGACCCAACAAGGTCACGGGCACTATTATTCTTATCAAATATCAAAATCCTCATGTAACACATGTATATAGTACACCCCTTGTCACCGTGGTCTCGCCACTTCTCACCCGTACATCCCCATCACCCACCCCGGTTGCGTCACAGCGTCTGGCCCCGGGCACCTCTGCTGCCTTGGGCGCCGGCACTGGCGCCGCTACTGGTGGCGCTGCCGCTGCCAGTGGCGCGGTCACCGGTGCTGCAGGGGGTGCTGCTACGGAGGCCAAGGGCTTGATGGGCTGGAACTCCTGCCGCGTGCTTCAAATCCCGGAGCTTTGCCTGTCTTAGGACTTCAGATCTCCACTTTCACGAAAAAAGAACTCCAAGGCCGGTAAAACTCCCTTTTTTTAAAGAACAGTACAGTATTCGATTGCAGGGTCTGAACCTCTGAACTCTGAAGCTAGATCACACATCCACCACTGGGTAGGACACTCCGCATGGCCGCAGGAATTGAACTGAGGTGTCCAATCTTCTAAAACTATACTCTCGTCTTTGTATTGTGGGAGAGCCCGTTCATCTTGCTTTGAATTATATACCAGCTGGACTTGAGCAGGCCTTGGAATCACAAGGCCTCCCAACACAACCAAGAACCTGCTTTCCACGATGGCATCTCTCCCATCAACCACCATGTCAGTGTATGTCAGTGTGACATCCCACGACATCTCTTGGTCTTGGCTGGAACCCTTCGCCCCCTGTCGTCCCGCGCACGATTTCCGCCCCGACGAGATCGACCGAAGCCGCTCCGGTCCTCTTCGGAGACGCGCAGGTCTTGCAGAATTCGGCTCGTGTCGATGCTGACTCCAGCGGGGCTCGTCATTCGGAAGGTCCTTCGGTGCCGTGGCAT